GTAATACAACATTCCTGCTTGAAGACTGAGAGGCCTAATGCAGTGATAATTATTATTTAATAAAAATGGCGCACTGTCTGCTACGCTATATGTCAAAGTTTTCGCGCCAATTCCATTGCAGCACTCTTTCGCTGAAAATATGAGAAGCTTAATTTCATGTATTAATAGTATAATTTTGACACTCTCAATTTGGAAATTATCTCATAAGTAGAGCTACCTAGGAAAAAACAACGTGCATTCAACTTGACCCTACATCAGTTCAAGTTACTGAGTACGTGGGCAGGTATCATTGACGTAAAACGCCTTGAACTTCAAAGTTCATTTCCAATTGTCTTGAATACGTCACACTAACAAACTGCAAATGTCATCAAAAATATCTTATCAGATCTTCAACAACTCTCAGTTCTCAAACTCCCGAGTATATCACATTATAATATTCGAATAATTCGACGATGATCTTTGTAGTAAAGGCATTACAGATATCATAATCGGCATCTTTCGATAACCCAGCCTGATTAAATTGGACATTTTTTAAACCACGTAGGGAACTGACTAAGCAGGTGATGCATTTGCCCTCAAGCTAAAATATCCCACTTAGAAGTCGATCAAATGCAATTCCAAATACTGGCAAATTTGCGTACTTATTAAAACTAAAATATTCTGAAACATCCAACTCAAATCTACCGAGCATGTTCTGCATTAAAACGGTCCTGCAAAATACGAAACAATCATATCGTCGGTCCTATTCACCGCAATTCGATGGAAAAAAGTTGATCGCTGTACCGGAAATAATAAAAAATCGTTTGCTGGCTCGACACGCTGAAACTTTTTCAATCTGATCGGCTGATTTTTAAAATAATCATTACATTCTAATCCCGACTGAATTACATGTACCTCCGTTGTATTTCTATAATAAAGAATATAGTATGTGGCTTTACCAAACCTAATGTATTACAAACACAGTTTCTCAATTCTCTGATCAAGGTCAGTTGAAAATAGGCCTGGCAAATTGACGACTTAAAACCTCAGTATCCGAATTCCTCACATTTTCCAAGAACTTTTCTGGGTTGAGTTTCCTGTTTCAGTCGTAATTATTACAACCAAATACCGTTACAAGCATAAAGCAGCGATCAAAACAATTTAAATTACGCTCATAAGTGATCGTACATGATCGACGATAAATTGTGAAAAGTATTACGATGGACGTAAAGGATTTTGAATAAAGGCTAAAACGTTATTAACATTTTAACCAAAACTCGTATGTTATTCAACCCTATATCGCAGTAGTCAGTATAGGCAAAATCGTATAATCTTTTAGGTATAATCTTCAAGGCACAAGGCTCCCACAATGAAGCTCCAGTTTTTTGTTACTAATACTCTGATTCGTTAAGCTTCTTATCATATCAATCCACGGGTGAGGAAAGCGAAAGACAATCACAGCAATTAAAAATCCTTTTGAATGCGATTTTGGTATGCAAAATCATTTAATCTCAAACAAACAAAAATCCGATTAGATTAAACGCCAACACAGCTGAAAAGGATTATCAAGTGGTGACCATTACCGCAAATTCGCAACTATAAACCATACTGTATTTGCGAATTCAACACCACTAATTAACGTCTCTATCAATTTTTGGGAAAATTAATCCCAGAGAAACGTAAGCTATATTGTAGCCCATTGCCGTCTATAGAAAGAACAGGATACCCACCATACTCTACCCTGACCTACATACGATACAAATCTAATTAAAGTAGCGCAATGAACGCAGGCACAAACACTATTAAAAAGACGATTAAAATTAATATAATTTTATACACCATTAGGTCGGTCAAATGAAGAAGTATGTGCATCACTTTGTGAATCATGCGTTACAAACACAGTCTATTGATAATCACACTTGATCGACAAATTCCAACCCCATACAATTACCAGACAATATACACGAATCAACTAATTTTTTTTAAATACAATATAAGGGCGTGTACTACTGGAATCCCGATATCTGTTGGGTATTTGTCAGACGATAGAATTTGATTAAACACAACAGATGTATTAGAGCTACTATTCCATGCATATTGTCTAGGAATGTAGACCACAGACGATACAGTTGTTAAACGCAATGCTATAGTTATGTATGGTGTACACCCGCGAGGCATAAATACAGCCTGTGTGATAACAGTGTTATTACTCTAGGGATGGTAATTATATACTATCAAAAAATTCGTAACACAATTGAATTTTGCGGTTAATTTGCAATACGCAATATAATAGTAAAGAATGAGAGAACAATATTACAAAAAGTTTTTACTTATCTGTTAAATGAATTTTTCGTTTGTATGTGTTTTATATAAAAAGTTATAAGCATGTTTGTATTATACTTGAGTGAGTATATTACAAGGTTATTGAATATAAAGCAAGGGCAATCTTTCAATTTGCTGAGCGAATTCGAGTTCTAAATTTACGTAACACCCTCTTGAAATTCCACGATGGGTCATCTCAGAAAACTACATAATGGGCTCAAGGCGAGATTTTTATTGAATAAAAATTGCCCATTAAAACGGCTATTTTTGGTCAAATAGCCAACGGACAATGGTCACTACTGGGAATTATTGATTTTTTTATTCAATACATACGGCTGACAATCCTTAAATCCCATAAGCCATTATTAAGCTTAAGGCAATTAAAATCTCCTAGTCGCAATGCCTTCACCAAGGTGTTTCAAGTGTTGTGCGATTTATGTAATATAATTCAGATATCATGGCATGAACCTAAAAAACGATGGCGTATGTTTTTATGTAGGTAGAAAGTGGTTTGACCACAATTACCTTTTTGTTTAACAACCTTGAAGCATTTTTAAGAATTGTTCATTCGGGTTAACCATGGTGGTGGCTCAAGTTTTCGCTGAATATTACACATAAAGCTGATTGCCATTGGTGCGATCGCTCGGTGCCACGTTTCCCAACTGGGGATGTGTTTCCTCTCCAGAGAAAAATTTTATGGTATATGCCAGACTCCACAATATTATCTGATGAGCGAGGTAGATTCGAGGGACAAAGAACCACAAATCGTCCAAGTTTCTGTTGCAGGCTAATTAAAACTGCTGCAACACGATTCAATAATCGATATCCTAATACATCAATAAGTTCATGAAAAGGCAGAATAAATTGATGGCAAAAATGTAGAGACAGCAATGCCTCAATAAATAAATCAATATTTCGGAGTGTACTACCATGTATCACTACCATTGGGAAGCTTATTAGGTTTGCCATAAATAAATGGGCAAATATTGTGGCCAAACAAGCGGTGAAAATATCAATGTTTTTCGTTCAAGTTTGTATTCCCCTAATATCAAAAATCGACCCCACGTGAAATGAATAAATACCTACAGTAAGATTCACGTATAGTTTTAAACTTTTAAAAACATATTAATGAGGGGAATTTAAATGACAGATCGATAATTCTTGCCAAGGGTTGATATTGTAAAGAGCTTTACCGCAAACTACTTGCAGACGCCCGGTGGGTAGTTCTTGAGCCAACATTCGCAGAAATAAACACCATGTCAATTCGAAGTTTAGGCAATTCCGACAAGGCTAGAACAATCGTGAAACGAATCTCTAAACTTGGTTTTGATGCGTATCATACTTGATATGTGGAAAATCTTCTATTTTTCCATACGGCAGGCGGTGATGTGGTTTAAAGACGTCTTGAGTGGACTTCGGTATTTCGAGAGTCAGGGGCTGAATAGGCACTTGAAAAAGGCGCACAATGGTCCGAATACTGATAAGATAAAGTCGTGACAAAGCCTTTTTGTGAATATATACCGATAAGCAAACAAAGTCGTATGGAGTTGTCCAAGTTAAATGCAATGTTGATAAATTGGTTATAAGAAAGCAATGATTGGTATTTATAACGCTCAAACCAATGATTACGAAAATTTTGAAAATATATTGCACGATTACAAAGCAAAATGCGGCGTTCAAATACTCATATCGCCGGATGAGAACAGAAGGGGCCTAAGTCACATTTTTGGAAAATTGACTTTTTTCAATATTTTGGGGTTTTGAGCCATGCTCTGCAAGGTGGTGGTCTTGAAATCCTGAATTTCTCAATAATAAAAATTTTAGCTGGACTTAGGCCTAAAATATTTAAGAACAGAATGGGCCTAAGTCCAGCTAAAACTTTTATTATCGAGAAATTCAGGATTTCAAGACCACCACCTTGTAGAGCATGACTCAAAACCCCAAAATATCGAAAAAAGATAGTCCTAAGTTCCAATATGATGGGCATGAACATCAGAAATGAAATGTCCGAAACCCACATCCCTAAAAATTTGTTCAGTACAACTTAGGCTTAAGTCACCTTGTTTTACCTTGCATCCCATACAAAAAAATTCAAAAGTTGTTGAGAACAGAATGGGCCAAAGTTTCTTATGGGGGTAAAAAAGCAAAAAGGAATTGAATCTGAAGTGCCAAAAAATATTGATTACAAAGATAGTCTCATCCACATTAAAATAACCAGAGCTCAGGACTTTACTAAGTGTGAATATCTAGAAATTCGAAAATAAAAAAATTCCAAATTGTTTTTTGCGTTTTTCTCAAAACTCAAAATTGTGACTTAGGCCTGTTCTGTTCTCATCCGGCGATATATTGTAGTACTTCGATTCGTATAAAAATAAAATCGCATTGCTGCATCAGTAGTCATTGTCCACTAAAAGTCGTTGACAGTTGCAATTTAAAATAAAGCACAAAAGGAGTAGCTGATCGTCGTCCAATAAAAGGTACCTTATTCCAATATCAGAGAACAGGCAATAGAAAAAAACATGGCATCAGGAAATATGAAGCAACGACGAAAGTCGTGCTTAGCATCATAATGAGATCATATTTGGCTAATGCCGCACCGCCCTCTAGCCGCCCAACAGCGTATTGAAAAATGAATAACATGTTGAAGTCATTGCTTATCCATGAAGCTGCTTTGTGTGATGGAAAATATTTCAACTCACCGATAACTCTTGTCCCAACTCGCAAGGATAGTTCTTCTGAAGTTTTTGCATCGTAATTTCTGACGACAATTCGGACTTTGTTTTCATCGACTACACCGTTTCCAGTTGCTAGAAAGAGTATGAAGTATTTTAGGACTAGAAAATTTGACAAGATTGAAAGGTACGACTATCGAGCCAACCAAGACCTTATGCGTTTGGGATCTTGTCAATTTTTCAGAAATCTAAAACAATAGAAAAGGTGTTTTTTAGGCGGTGACTTAAAAACAATTTTATTACGTGAATTTCTGTTTATGTACCCAGAAGTTTCAGTAATCTTGGACGCTTTGCAAAAAAGTTATTTTTTCTCTAGAACAGACATGGGTAAAGTACGGCCCGAGGGCCAAATCCGGCTCGTTGGGTAATTCAATCTGGCCCGCCTGATGCTGCCACAACCAAACTGAAACCAAATTTTGATGTTTTAGCTAAAAATACCTCACGGAATTTGTTGAGATTGCGGTTGAATTTAGTTTTGGCACGAGGCTTATCGTCTTTGACTGTTACTTTCGTAACACTGTAAATATTGCTCATAAAATGTAACTTTTTACGTCACACTTACATGGCCCGCCAGTCATACGATAGGCAAAATTTTTGGCCCCTGGTTCAAAAACCGTGCCCACCGTTGCTCTAGATTATGTTCAAATGGCTGTTTTTTTAGGGGAAGGGGGGGGGGTCACATCATTATTATGTGATGAATTGGAGATACATTGTGTGATAAAGATGCCCCGGTGACGTTATTTAAAAGATTTCAGTATTTTTAATCAATTTTAATTGCGACGAGCAATTTCAATTCAACTGCAGAAACAGGTCATATACCAAAGGACGATGTAATAAACATCGATTTGGTACAGACGTACAGTTATTGATATTGAAACATCTGAAGACTTTAAGTAAACATGTATACATCAAGATATATCTTTATCAAGCAGAAAATAATTTTGTAAACATGATTTAAAGCATACGAATACGTGTGCCGAGTGAGCGGTTATCAAAAGTAATCTTTTTGTATCAGAAATAACAAGGGATAACCTTGACTTGGCTCAATAACGTTTTTGCTACATCGTCAAAACACGATTTGATCAAATTAAAGGACAAACGATGCAACTGAAAAGCGAACTTGGTATAATTTGTAAATCAAATACTAAAAAGGCAACGAAACTATAAGGGTCGTGCGTAAGTACGTATGTGTGTTTATATGTCTCAAAATGTAACAGCATCTGTATGCCAAAGTACCGGTACCGTAGTCTACCGAACCCCCAAAATACATCCGACTTTCTCAAAGCAGGTGATCCGCTGACATGCGGTCGCGGAATAGCTACACCTACAAGCATTATTTATTTTCAATTTCATGAAACGTCAAATAGCAAATTGAACCCCCAGAGCCCATTGGAAATTTTGAAATAGTATTCTAGGGACTACAGCAATCTTTAACCACTGAAAATTTCAAAGCAATTGGTTCAGTTTCAGTAGTTAATGGGAAAAAAGAATTTTCACAACAACAAGAAGAAAAATACAAAATGAGTCATAGGCCATTTTTCATGTGGACATAGATTTGCCCAGTCTGGACATGTACGACGACATTCCGATCAAAATTCGATTTATTACGTTAATCAAACATAATGATCGTAGTCGAACAAACGTCGCTGGTGGACATTGGCTAATGCAAATAAAACATGTTTACTCACTTTTTGGATATTTAACGTCTGGTATCTTGGCATTTGGTGGAAGCTTGGAGTCGAATCTGTAAAAGACAAAAAAATTATAGATTTAAATGGATGTGTTTACTTTCCAAGTGCCCTGCATAAAAAAGGAGATTACTGGCAATAGGAAATTTTCACCCATGGAAGGACCCATGAAAAATGTCGTACATATGGAATATTGAACCCAAACCTAACCTTCAATAAAAAGATTTTTTAATTCGATTCCGATGTACAATGTCATATTTAGTCAATGTCATAGTATAACTGTTACAGATTTTCTGGATAGAATATTTGTGGATGTGAAATACCAAATTACCACAAAGCTAGCAAAAAATGAATCTTCAGAAGGATTGTACCCAACGAAAGGCTTCTTTTGAACGACCCCTTCGAGACCAAGCCTTCGAGACAGCTATCCTTTTTCTAACAATAACTTTCGCACATCACAAAATCTCCAAACTTCATGCCCAAAACCTCACTCCGAGTGTAAAATAAATTGGGTAAAAGCAATGACAAAACAAAACAAATCTGAAAATTATTAGCTCTTTGCATATCAATGATTGATTGAATACAGCCTTATTCCTATGGAATTGCCTCATAAAAAAAAATAATTGTGTCGATGTTAAACCCATAGGGAGGAATTTCGCAGTTTATTTTTCTGTCTGTGACAAGATAGATTTGAAAATCCATTGAAATGTCAATATCCAAGGATTAGTACCTAGGTAATAGATCAAACGTTGGTTCTTTTCCAGACTTATCTGCATTTTTCTTTTCTCTCATAAACATTCTATATAATCCAGCAGTTAAACTGTTTCGTTTTTTATTCGTGCCATACATGCTTGGAGTCTTAGCCGGGACTCCAGACATGGCACGAATTTTCTTCATATTGGATATAATTTAACACTTGTGTACCCAAAGAAACTACAATATTTTACATGAAAACAACACACAAAAACATATATCTGTAACAAAATCGGAGATTTAATAAAAAATTCTGTGATATTTGTATATTTGTGCGAACAAATTGAATTTTGGGATAATTTATACACGCCCCCCACCAAAAAAACACCCCAGCCAACGCTCAAAATAAGAAAATTATTAATTATCCAGTTAGGGTTTGATTTAAGTTCAGGAATGTAGATTGCGCTAAAAAATAAAATTTTTAAATTTTAATTAAATATTTTAAACGCTAATCCTAACCCCAATTGGATAACTACTAATTTCTTATTTTGAAGCATGGTGGGGTATTCTCCTCTAACTCCACATTTTAGCATTAGTGGCGGGGCTTTGTACAAATGATCCTAAATTTGTGTCTACCAGTGAAACATTTAGAGTAAGACTATAGGTCAGGATTCAGGATATTAAGATACTGCTTAAATGCAATATGATTACATAAAATTATTAACTGCAGGTGCAAGTTTAATTCTCGTATTCATATTCCATGCCCACCACCTCACCCTGAGTGTAAGTTGGGTAGTCAATGCAGAGTCGAAAAAATCCCAGTCTGTTCAAAATAAAGTAACCAGGCTACTTGCGCAGAAACTTGCTTGTAGCGAAAAGCGTATACTGTAAATATCGTTTATCAAAAATGATAACATTAATACATTTATAACCATACATAAATGTTCCTAAACTGTCTTTATACAGCATTTTCTCAGTTAGGCCTTACAGCAGCACGACATTACATTTGCTGCGTGCGATTGAAGAATTGGTCCTGATACTGACACTTATATGATAGATTTTGCATATTTAAATGAACCGAGAAAGTCATTACAACGATGTGAACGAATTGCTACTGGATCTGTAAACTGCTATACCTCGCTAATTACAGATAGGTAAAATTCTATTCAAGACTGGAAAAAAGCTGGCGGTTTGTACCGAATTACATTACTGCTATTAAAACGAAACATCATTTTTAACCACGCACAAGTCGATCGTCAAATTTGGCTGATTATATTTTGTACAACTACGGTATATTTCATAACTAAGCCTCTGTAATAACATTACAATAAACACGATAAACAGCAGATTGCAAGTAGCAATTCCATTTTTCCTCGCTGCAAAACTGACTTACGATCGATGTGCACCACTAGCGAAGACCTGAAATCGATTATTATCTCGAAGCAAGGAACAACTACAATTATTATACCAGTGATGGAGATAATATGTCAGAAAACGGTGTCGAATGACTTATTATAAAAGAATAAAACTCTTCAGCACTACGTCCTCTTGATATGCAGCTACACGAACTCAGGGGCATGAAATTTGATACAGATACCATTTTAAAAACACAATGAATGGTAGTTTTGCATTTTCTGATGAAGTTATTCAATCGCTGCCCGCTTCCTACATTGGTACGAACGGAAATATATCAACAACAGTTTCAAATTGCACAGTATGCAACGGCGCAAAATTTCGTTAAATTAGGTTAAAATATTGATATTGCTAATTGAATTAACCACAAAAATCTGAATTCTAAATATTACATAATAAAAAATTTGATTATGAAACGTTCGACTTTGATATAAGCAACTTTACAATAATCTAATTTAGTCTAGTTCGAAATTTCAAATCGATATTCGTTTCTACCTCAACTGACATCAAAATGACTGTGCAGACTGCAAGCAGAACTGAGAATGACATAACTTCTATTCTTTACACGCATTTACTTCGCTAACTCACTGCAGTATTACATTACCATAGTGCATTTATTCAACAAAACTACAGAAAATATTACTACAAGTAACAATATTATGCTTCGAATACCCTCAAAATACGCATCCCCAATACGCTCTGTTATAGTTCCAAAATCCAGCGCAAACGCTTTTTTATCTTTAAGCACCCCACTAATCCTAACAAGTGTAACAAAAAAAAAAATCGAAACTTTTTTCAACTAGATACAAACAGAAAGTTAACACGCCGCTGCGTAATACAAAAGACTTTTAAGTCTACACCACTCAGCAAAATGTTGGATTTACCAAATAGAGTTCTTTTGTTTGGCTTTTAACAATCCACCACTATAAAAGAGACGCAATTCACCATCGGGCATGGCGTTTGGAAAAAGTTTTCCCCTCATAAAATACGCGAAAAAAGTAAACATTCGTTCGAAGGTTCCCTATTCGATTCTAACTTTACCGTTATAGTTTCCCAGTTGTAACGTACATTAAAATTATAGGAAATACATAATTTTTTCAACAAGTGTGAATAATCTTATTAGAACAGTTCTGTAGTAACAGCGCATAGATGCTTTAACGTTTTCAAAACAGCTAAAAAATTAGTATAGGGAACATAGTTGAAATATATATCGTAGTAATGAGTAACTTATCTAGTGGTAAATGAGAAACCACCATAAAACATATCAAACCTATAAATTAGTGACGCAAAAATTAACTCTTTATCGGCCTTCCTTGTTTTGTCACATACATCACTCACACCTTGTCACATTTTATTATATATATTTCAGCTAGTCATGTACAAACATGATAGTAAAATGGCAGGACAATGTTAAAAACATAAAAGCTGATGGAAATTGAAAACGCAATTTATGATGTCGGGTCAGAAAAGCAAACAGTATCTGTCACGCTACGCAAGTTGGGCGGTATGATGACGTTATCATCAAACCCTTTACGAGTGTACACTAGACAAGGTCATGCATCTATGTGAACAACAAAACACGCATGACGCAATTTGTAAATTACAATACAATTATCACAGAAATACAAGATACCTAATGAAATAATATAAGGGAAGCCAGCAATTTCATTCTAAACAACACAAATTTTAATTAAACCAAATTATCAATAGTAGCCTATATATGATATGCATACACGTTACGCCGTGTTGCAAAATACAGCGCTTAATTTGAATTTACTCCAAAAATAGTAATTGGTCAAATTGGTGTAAATCAGTCGCAATGCGCAAAGCGTTGGAGGTCTTCTCAAGCCACCAAGTTATTGACGGACCAATGAAAAAAAATCAATCTGCAAACGCGGTGCTACTAAAATAAAGGTTTAAGAATCGAATAAAGGATTATTTACGCACTGATTATTAGCTGCATTTACTAATTATATCTGACAAGGCAATAATTGGGAATACGATCACAAACAATGTTTCCAATAACTACGTTTAAACACATTTAAATATCATGAGCCAGGTAATCAAGAAACCTGACAACAACATCTCGCTTAATACGTCGTCAATTTGCTGAGGATTAATTTTCCAAGTTGATTATATCATTGGTAAGCATTGTTGATTTAGAAATAACAACAAATGTAAAATTGTTACGTCATAACGGACGAATCGCCAAACAGTCGACTTTCCTACTTCTCTTACGAACAAACAATAACACAGCAGGACTGAACCAAATAGACAAAAACAACACAAGAATTCGAATCGAAATATATAACAGGTGAATAAACTGGAAACAAATCCATCGACTGATGTAAAGCAGAACACTAGATACAAAAGGCGACTTCACTCCAATAAACAAATGGAATTGAGTGATCAAATCCGTCATCGCAAGGCTAATTCCCTTCTAGTTATTTCTTCCAAATATCCGCGCCTAAATCGATGATTCACGTTTATAACAATACTAGTTTTGTCCATCATATAACTTATAACGAAAATAGCGACACTTCACAAACTAAAAGTGTGCGATACTCCCAGACCACAAACCTAAATCGAACATAGGTATGGTACAAGTCCAAGCTAGGTCTGGCGAATGTTTCAGAAACGTAATAAATATCACCATTTTATTGAAAAAGCAATTAACAGGTACCAATACCCAAGCATCATGTTTAATATTACAAACCGTCGGGCCCTTGATGTATCTAACATTAAATACCGATGTTTACTACTATTTGTTAATATGACATGCATTTTATAAGTCTTCCTTTCTCGCTACCTACATCATTTGCTAACCATTAGAGCAGGCCAGAAAACAACTCGATATCCCGGAAGCACCGGATTAGGAAATTCGACCCATCCCGGAGTTCGAACGACGTGTTACTACTTCGCCATTATTCAAAGCATATTAATTCATCGA